ATCTTATTTCGAATGCGTGCATTGTGTTATATCGTTTTTACGCTGTAATTTATATTTGTTCTATAGTGATGTTATTTTAGGTTGTGTGTTTATATAAGGATATAGGTACCTGGATCAAATAAGTACTTGGGTGGGTGTGGTATGTCGTTGTAGAATTTATGTATTGTTCAGGTTCTTATTGTGTGTAAATATTACATAAGGATTTTAAGTCTATTACTTATTACATTTCCTATAAAATAGAACCAAGGATCGTAGATACATGACTATAGGATAGGGAAGGGAGGATAGGGAAACTTCGGGAAAGACTGCTTGCAGGAACCAATGCCTGGCCTTTTTGATTTTACAAATTTTTGAAACAGACGTGCCTTATAATGTTTTTAAAAAAAATAAGGCAAAAACAACCTGTAAGGAATAGCCAAAAGATAATTCCACAAGCGACCAAATTTTGACCGGTTCTCGAACTTCGTCAATCCATTTGCTTGGAAGACCTATTCATTGAAAAAGGACGTTTAATGCATACACCTTTGTGATGTGTCGCAACCGTAAAGCAAGCGGTAAATTTTAAATTGAGTTGGTATTAGCCCCGAACTCGCCGTAGATAGTCCTTTATCGCCTTAATGGGTATCTCCATATATGGCAACACTTACGTATGCTATATTAGCGGTATATTTCATAGATATAGATATCTTTAAAAAAAACACCCAGCGTATACGTTGCTTTGTAAACGAATAGGGAATTGCCTCATGAAAAGGAGAGTTCGGCTATATAGAACCATATGAACTAGGCACGGAAGAATATAGAAGACGTGATCAAAGACAAGTAGTTTCTTTTTTACTGAGACGTGCCGTGTCAAGCAGTCTATCTTTAATTAGTGATTCTGGTCTATGGACTGAGCTTAATTCTTTGAGAACTTGCTTGCGAAGTAATCAGCGCACGAAAGGAAGGACGTGAGGTAGTATAATCTATTGCGAATGCTCCAGCCTCCAAACGTATCATGCTTGTTTGTAGTCCAGAAGCAAGTGATGCGCTGCCTAAGAAAATGCGCTTAAAATACCACAGCCAAGATAATAGCAAATCTGTGAAGCTCTCCTTAAGTGATGTTCACGATTCTGTGCAAGCTTTCTCAGTACAAGCGGTAAGTTGTTCTGTAATATGTTTTGTAAAACTGATCTTTACGTTTCGAACGAACTTGAAACACTGCATGTTATTCTTATCGTGGCCGCTGGTGAAAGTAGAAATAGATAGCGCCTGTCGGTTGCTCGTGCAGCAAAGAACGTACCATACAAAGAACTACCTAAGTTAACAGCGTATAACATTTATATGGTTGAATAAGTTGAGCCTTTGTTATCATCCACGATTGATAGAATCTTGCATCTGCACTTCGAGTAAACGTTCAAATTCATCTAACCTTAACTGGATTGATACCGCAATGACATACAGAATCTAGTCCGCTGGAGCTAGAATGAAATTCATATTAATCAAATAGAGACTTGGATACTCGGTCGATTATTTATGGGTACCAGTTTTCCGTTCACTTTAGCCTTGAAGGCCAAAAACTCCTTGTGGTAGAGTAGAGCGATCGGTTCAGCATTTAGCATCTAAGGACACACTTTAAGTACATAATAGCGTTCTATCATCTCGACGAATGTGTGGTGCGCTAGCTGCGTTCATAGAGTTAGTTTAACATCGATAAGTAAGTACTCTGTAAAAGAACCGCCTGGTTGACTCATTAAACAATAATAAGCAAGTAAGTCCCTAAGTAACTTATAGTCCCTTTACTAATTACATGACAGGAATGATACGATAAACAAACATAATTCTTCAACGGCCTAAGTAAAAGCAAGCGCAAGAGAAAACATATGAAAGACTTGCTGTGCACGTAAGCTACAGAGCGTGATGTTATCTTTAATTGCAAATAATAGCCGAAAAAGGGACACCTTCATTCAAAAACATCCAAACTTTTTAAACTTCAAAAAGGGGCGCAGTATTTCCAAAATGATACCACTATAGAATTTCGCCTCCTGATACGAATAGCACCGGGAACCTTGTACGTAGAAGCTGGTAAACGATTTATCGCTGATGAGAACAATTGGCTCTAAGCGTAACACTTCGCTCATACGATATAAGATGCATATCTAATGATATTTATTAATGATCATCATGTTTTTACCAGATTTCTCATAATTGTGGAAGAAGAACAGATTATAGCTTATACAGACATAAGTTACACAACAATAATCTCGCACAGTGCTTCGAATAACTTATAATACCTAAACTTCTAAAAATTCCAGAAGTATAAAGACTAAATCGAAATAATAGCATAAGACCCACGGCCAGCTGCTGGAGGCCCCGCTGTGGCTGTTTGTTTGTTTTGCTACTGCCGTTGTCTCGCAATCATTTTTGCTAAACTTGCACAATGGACAAGTTCTACAGCACGCCGGATGGGGTAAATGGTGAACTCATCAGGGAATTAATTCAAGCTTTTTGCCTTGGCATCCTAATACCTCAGAAAATCAACTACCAATCAAGTATAGGGGATGTTAAATTTTCAAAAATTTTCCGTGTACATTCTCATTTTTTTGCTCCGGTCTCAGTCTTCTCTACTGAAATATGTCGAAAAGAATTAAGAAGCACAGTTCCCAACAGGAATAAATAACACTTAGATATCTATTCCTAGGTCGAACGCGAGAACGTCCAATGCAGAGGGTTCGCTCTATGGCCCGACTTGGTTTTGGGTGTGTCTTTTTTCTATGACGACAGCGTTTTCGTTGATGATGGGTGTTCGAATAGGGCAGGCTCAAGCCCAGAAACTGGAATGCTTCGTCAAGATTCGAATCCAATTAGCCGCTAACGTCAACCAGCTTTCTGCCTATTCCCGTTTAATCTTCATTGTTCTTTCGTCGTCACCGGATGCTTGGCATAGTCGGACGCTAAAAAAAAGTTACGACATTTTTCATAAATCACTACTACTCCCAGAACGGTTACAGCATAGCCAAGAAGCTAGGCACTTTCCAAGAGACCCCAAGCTTCTCTCTGCCTTACCCTCTTCTTTCTATTTCCTTAGTGCCGGTATTGGCGTCACCGATTTAGAATTTCTTCACATGAGAGCAAGATGGCGCAGAAGTGACGCTGAAGAGACTTTCGGCAGGTTTATCGTTTACGTTGTCTACGTGTAGGTCGTTTTTCTTGGCTCGTTGTCCATAAACAGTCCTATTGATTCTATCATTCTGCTTCTTTCTCCACGTTGTGCAAGTCGCTCGCCGTCGATCCGTTCTCTTTCGGTCTATCCCTCGCCACAACTGCTGCTGCAGCAGCAGCGACCACTTCAGTCATCCACTATGCGTACCGCCCCTATTCCCATGACAATCCCTTACTCTTGTTCCGACGAATTTATTCGATTTGGGCTGTAAAAACGACCATAGCGAGAATTCTGGCGGCGATGCGGGCAGCAGGGAGCGCCCAGTGTGATGCTTTGTTCATTTTTCTTCAAATTAAATTTTCCCGCCAGTTCGACAGGCGGGCAACGGCAGACGGCGTCACTAACATCGGTTGGCCACGTCAGTCGGGCCTTCGGCAGACCCCGGACACGAAAGGCTAGCTTCAACTTCGACGACGGCTTAAGAAGGGGAACAGGATGAAAAGGATGAGGAGCTTTTTGTGGAAATAAAAGGACCGACTTGTTCTTCTTTCGATAAGGGGGTATGCCAAACGACAACGATGGCTTAGAATGATGCTTCCAACCGAGACTAGACAGCAGTCCGCTAAAATGGATGTCTCCAAGAACGATACAACCGACCTACGAACAGCTAAGGCGCTGCTATCAACTATGATATGCACCCTTATTTGAAGGCCTTCGAATTTGATTTCGCTAATTTCATCTTGTTCAGCGTAAGAAATATTAGTTCAGGTATATTGACATATTGATGAATATAGGAGTGCCATTCTTGATTTGGAAGGACATTGTCGAAGCTTCTGATCTTGACAGTCGGGTTATGTATACAATAAGATGGCATGGTAAAATTAGCCAGCAGTCAAATCTGCTGCACTGCCTGAGGGGAACGCAAAAACTCCAGCCTTGTTGATCTCTATCACATCAATACGTACCTCTAACGAAAGCCGCTCCGCTTAGCCTGGCCATTGTACGGTGCACTACTGAAATGAAACATAATTACGTTATTCAAATGTAACAGATTGGTCAAAAAGTAGTATACAAATGTCAGCAACAATTTACTATACATCCGCCATAACTGCCATGTTTCAGCCAAACTATTCCCTCCAGTCAGAAATGTTTCCATGTTGAAGAGCATGCCCAGCCGATGTCTGAGTTACTCCTTATCAGATGTTTGATAGGAAATTGTCAGATATCGGAAGAACAAGTATTTCACTGGATTGGCTCAGCAATACAAAGCTCGTTCCGCTTAAATGCTTGCAAGGTAGATTTTTGCAATGCGCTTTGCAGTGTGTTACCTGGCATTGTTATGGAAAAGGATGGCCCGGTGTTGTGTATGTTATGTGTATCCTTCTTTATCGTCTCACCATTGTCAGTGTAGAAAATCCTTCTAGTCTAGTCGAACTAAACCATAGACGTATTTGGATGGAGTCAGTAGCTCACAACTTAAGTTCGAAAAAAACTCCTAGGTAATTGTATTCATATATATAACGTATAGGTAACATTTATTAGCCGGTGAACAAATTGCTTAGTATCCAGGGTCTTCATCAAGCAAAGCGTATTTTTTTCCGTTAGCAGATCGACCTTAGACCCAACACCCAAAGCTATTTTTGACTTAGGCAGAAGATGAACTAAAGTAAACGCCGAAAATTCATATGTTTTACCATCGACATGTGTATTTGTAGTTTCAATCCAAAGCAAAATTTCGCCCATGAGATTACAAGGGCTTTTCGAATCTGAAGCAAATGCTGGGCGTCATAAGGAGGCGCCAAATAACTTTTTGGCCAGCCTAATAGTTAGGGTAATAGAAAATGCTAGTTTACGGGGAACATGTAAAAATAGATTTATCTTTTATTTTGTCATAGTTTTACTACACGGTTAATGATTTTATCAGTAATACATCTTTCACGTTTCCATACATCGTTTAGTTAATTTGTCTTTTTTTTTTTCTGTGCATCATATTTCATTTGGTATACAGTTCTTTTGTCGCAGCTCTTCTTCACTGTTACTCAAAAACGTTATGGATTCATCAATCATCCACGGCTCGCTCATATCTACCTCTACTTCATGTATATCTATTAGACTTTTTCAATTTTATTTGCTTGTCTGTTTACGTTAAGTTCGTATCTTTCGCTCTCGCTCTTATTTGTTTATCCCTTTCTATTTTATGATCATACATATAGAGATTTCTTCATATATATGTGCTTGTGTGTATATGTACACAATCTTGTGTTTATTCCTTAATGTACAGATCTTGCATTGCTTATCACAGTAAAATACAAAATTATGTGGCTTCACATTTCGCTGTAGTTCTGTTGCAGTTCCACTTGTCCAATTTTCCGTGTAGCTAATCCAGGCCCAGTTATCCTTTGCCTTGCGCGGTCGCGATCAGCTCACCATGAGCCTATTATAACTAAGGGCCGAAACGAGCAAATATCTAAGATAGATATTTGTAGTATTTATTTGATGTAAATGTATTCGAGATGTAGATCAAATACGTTTGTGTTAAATAAGAGTGAAACGCTCCTGAGAACGATACTATATTCCAATAGATAATTAAGCCAAATAAATCGACCTCGTCGTTGCCGTAGTTATTACGCCGGAATATTACGTCCGGTTTTTAGGCAGGAATGTAGGGCATGTAGCTTATTGAGCCAGATTGCTGACAGTGATCCGGAAAATGGTCGTTTTCCGCTTTGTTGCGTACCTCCAAAACTGTCGGAAATTTCATAGTTTGTAGTCGAAGCCGGACATATTTAGATGCGTTTTGTTTTTCAAAACTAAGCTTCACTCAATTATAATTAGTCCCATCCACATATTCGTTGATGCTATGTACGCTCGTCAATCGGAGATAGCTCGTGGATAATGGCTTGCGCGTGGCTAGGTGAGGCAAATCAAAAGGTAAGCGTGTTACGAAGACATGTTTGCAGAAGTTCTGCGCACATAAATATTTGACAAATTTATCTTGTTTTACTTCTCACCTCCATTTAAATGGATCTACGATAAGTAGTAATCAAATCGGATGGCAAAGGAATTTCGGGTCACGAAGTACTGACCCATTTAAATGGCTTATCGGCTTCTGTCGAATAACTAAGCTGGCGTAGATTGTAGGCACTAAGTAACTTGTCGGCTTCGTCCGGGCACATATTGATTAAAATATTTGTCTTTCTACATGTATAATTGATAATCCAACTAATCTCTTCGTCTTAAGAACACCATTTAAACGTAACTGATCTTTTTTACTCACCTTTTGTAGATAGTAACCCACTAATCGAAACGTCAATTAGACCACCCGTTCTAATAGCAGGACAGCTTTCCTAATCGTTTCCCCTTTTGCCGTTCGAATGCTTGCAAATGTATCGGTTCTTGGTGATCCAGGAAACAGACGTGATCCTGCCAGTTTACCAAGATTTTTCGGTTTCTTATTTCTAGTCTATTTTATGCTTGCCACAGCACTAAACGAAACCCACAAGAAAGAAGCTTGTCTGTATAGGTCTTTTTGCAGATCTTTAAATCCTAGCTATTGCCCGTGCCCCATCTGAGCGTTCTTGCGTTGGCTGAATTCGTCTGTCTAGATGATGTTCGTGCATAACATGTCAATCCCTAGATACATGGCACTTGCACACTTAAGCAATCAATCAATCAAATTCCCCCTCAGGCTTTTGTAACCCCAATTAGTTTCACGCTATGACATAGGGCGACAACAATTCGCGCTATGTACATTCATAACATCGTTCGAAACTTTGTGTTTAGCTTACTTAGTACCATCTACAAATATAACCCCTGTGTCAAATACAAGCACGCTCACGTGTACTTGATTTTGTTACACTGGTGTTTTTACTGCCGGTTTTTACTTTTATCGAAGAGGATTCATTATTTCTGTACAACAGAGGAGAAATATGGGATAATTCCTCCTTAAAACACTTTGCTTATTGCTTTCAATCTTCGTGTGCACGTGTATTGAATCTATGATGGAATATATCCATAATGTGGACGTTAACCCACTAACCCCCCCCCCCCCCCAGTGAAACGGGGCCAAGTTTCGCTCCCGTTTCACTGGGTCATTCATTGCAACACACGTTTCCCTGCGTATATATACCTACTTTATGTACAGATAAATTGGGTCATATGTCGCTCTATTTGCGACAAAACGTTACTGACTGCAAATGCTGAAGAAGCAGGATGTATGTGCATCATCATCTGCTGTTTTTCTTTATATACTCATAATTTAATGGGCATCGCGACCTCTTTGGTAGGAAAAGCGTCGAGAGTAGGAGGTTTTCACTGCTGTCGCTGAGAGCGCTAGGATTAGGAAGGCCGATCCCGTACCCAGCCGATTATCTCAGCTCATTTCGAACGCTGCATCGATGACCGTTCGATGCTGTCGGAACGATTTGAGAATTCGTTTTCGAAGTTTTTCCATGTTCTCGATGACAAGCGTGTTCGTGGGCTCCAACGTATAGGCAACAGTATAATGATGAAACGCCGACGAATAGTCACCCTATAATAGTTTTAGGACCGTTGAAGATTAGACGGACGTTGCGTGATTCAAACAAGAATGCTACGAGTATAAGCAAATTCTTGCTGTTTAAAGCACCTGTGTCTTTAATGGTTATAGATAAAGAAAGAAAATTAAATATTATTGCTGTAAGACAAAACGCCTAACCTGAAGATGTCGGATGACCCCGAGGTTGATATGAGCGTGGGCAAGATCAGGCTGAAGTTTTATCGCTTCTGTATAACACTGCAAGTTGATAGCCAGGCACAATGAAATAGCATTACCACGGATATCCCACAAAACAGTTTACACACTAGTGGCAAATGTGCCGCAGTTTTTACTCTAGTAATAAATAATTTATGCCAACAAGCATAATGTCGTTACATTAAATCTTCTTCTTATCTTACATCTTAAATTGAAGCTTCTTTTATCGGTACTTACCTCGGCGGATCGGTTTAGATGACTGAGATCCTTAAGAATATCCCCATAATCAGCATGAAGCGGTGCACACTCACGAACACCTTCCGTCGGGCAAAGCTGTAACGCTTTTCTGATCCATACGGCTGCCTCGAGGCTCCGATTTGTATAACTGCACAGCAAAGCCATCTGACGAAGTCCATCACGCCAACCCTCGCCGGTCTTTTCTAAAGTTTCGGTGAGAACATGTTCAGCGTTTGTTGTATCTCCACGTGACAGAAGCATTTGCGCCTGCAAGGTTAGTACATCCCATATGGGCATAAGTAATGCGCTTAGCAATCAGTTTCTGAGTAACGCTAATCTATTTAAAAAAATAAAAACGCCGCGGCAAATTTTAACTCGTTTCTGTTGCTTGATTTTTTTTTCTTTGTTTATTCGATGGTCACTGTAATTGTGCCCTCAATCCTGCCAGTTTAGACATCGGATTTCATCAGCATAATTTCTTCGGAATTAGGAGAACAGCAGTAGCTCAAGAGTCACTTCAAATACTGCTGGTGGTGCAGTTGAAAAATAGAGCAAATGGGATCCAAGGCAAAAAGCCAGATCCTTTCTCTCTAGTCTGTTTCACTAGTTTGGGAAAAGAGATCACCCAGGACGCACAGCCAGTCTAAATAGGCAAACCAGGCAATTTTGCCGACAGACCGACCGATGAACCCACCAAACTAAGTAGAGTTATTAGGTGCCACCCCGCGTCGTCTTCCCTGAATATTCGCCCAGCACGAGCTAGAATCTTCTCGTCATTATATTTGTAGTCCTGCTTTCAGTCGTAGTCTCTCTTGTGCTCTCACAGGCTAGCGTCACTAGTCTCTGTGCCTATGTATATGTATCTGTAGGTCTCGAAAAGGGATCAGCACTTTCAAAGGGTTAGGCCTGCTCACAGACAAGCAGGCCACCCGTGCCCATCGTTCCGCCTCCCGTCGACGTTGTCCGCCGCACAAGTACGGCACACAATCGCTATTTCTACAAGTGACGCCAGTACCGTCCAATCACAGAGCAAATAAGCTCTTGTTCAAAGGGGATAGGCACTAGGTAGATGGCAGGTGTATTAAGATAGACATCAGGAAAATAAGGCCAACTGCATCCACAAGCAGAGCTGCAGACCACTGAAAAAAGCTGAGCAGGATCTCCGTTCATAAGTGTGCACATACAGGGTTATGTTAGATGGCAAACGCGGTGAAAGCGGATGGTGCAGCGTTGTGTCGAACTGGTTGTTGCTATATGAGTTAGGTTGAACCTAAATGGTGGGGGGGGGGGGGGGTATAAGCAGGCGACTGCAATCAGTGTAATCTCACCCGGAACAGTTCCTTGCAGAACACCAGCAGCGAAGCTGACGTACATAGATAGCTCGACCCACGAACTACCTTTTAGCTTGCTATGAAAGACGACGGCGGGGGCTCGTGGACGACTTTGTAATTAACACGCATAGCAGAGGCACGCAACATCACTCCAGATGTGTCCCTGTTGGTACAGGGGTTGGAGTCGCTGCTGGCTCAAACCAAGAACGGAGAAATAGATGTCCCCAGTACTTATCCTTCTCTTTCTTTTTCTATCCACCTTCTCACCATTTCTCCTTTGCACAAACGCCTAGTGCCTCGGCTCACTGGTATTAGGTTGAAAACACTATAGACAAGAAAGGGGCGTCGTGATAAGGTGCACAGCATGCAATTTTGTACTAGCTCTCCACTTGGGCTAGCCCAATCGTTGTCGTAGTTGTCGCTCTTCCGTACTTCGTTGGATGCGGGCTCGTAAGCAACAGATATTCATCTTTTTTCTTATATCTCCGGTCGGTGTCAAGAGAAAGATTTATGCATACAGAGGGGACCCGGCCTGAAGCAAGCTGCGGCTGTACAAGTGTGCAGTTGTAGCGGGGATGCACAGCAAACATATTGAGACGAACGTGATCGACCTGGCAGCCCACCGAGATGCTGGCACGTCATTCATTGATTCTCAAAGCAGGAGTTCGTGAATGTGTACGTGTATATAGATACGAACTATGAGACAACGATGCAGCAGACGACACAAAATAGCATTTCGCCCAGTTTACGTTATTGCAGTTCTTATGCTTAGCATTTTAGGTTTCGCAAACAACTGGGTTTCTTTTCGATGTCCACGCAGACATGTTCAGACCACATAGATAGAGACTTTCTCTCAAATGATAGGCTCACGCCGAACGGCATAACCAATTATAACTCGATCTGAGAGCTTTTCGAGTCACGTACATTGCGAAACGGAATAATAATAGTATGCCTAAAATTGTGTATGTGGACATAAAAAAAATTTGGCAATTCTGTGTGTCCATCAATAATTCTAACCCTAACCCGTGGGCAGGTAAGGTAGTAGTCGTCGTCAACCTATAGCATGGAAATGCAATTTATTTAGCCCACTAAGCATATTTATTAGGTTCATTGGGACGAGTATGTCATGGATTTCAGTGCGGTGACCTGTCAGTGAGGATAGTGTAGCCGTCCATATCTATTTTACTTTTAGCAATATTACGTTATATATTTTAGCTCGTGGACCAATAGAAAACGGCACTAAAGGCAGGTACTGTTGCTACGATAAAGTCCAGTCGCTGGACAGCGTTTGACGGCGCTATTTAAGAGCTGCGTCTCTTCCGTTATATAGGACAGCTTTAATATTTAACTGTCATTAGAACCTGCGACATTCATTATGGACATTGCTGTCAGACCCCTTTCACTTGCGATGCCAAACAGGTGATTGAGCACATAGGCCAACGCGTCCAGCCATTCCCACTTTAGATGGAACAATGGCCTTCACATGCCTGATCTAAACATATATATACCCAGTGGCAAACCTATTGGATTTAACAGAACAAAACATGTGTAAAGTCACAGACTGGAAACCATGCTGTTGTTAAGATGTTACGAGATCTGCATGTAGAGTATTCGTCTATGCGCATCGGTACTTCTGAGATTCAACGAAGGTGTCAACAATGTCCAAGTGGGTTTTAGCTAGGGAACAAAGTTTTTACGCGGCACACGGATATGGTAATACAGGCATGGTTGAACGCGGAAGCGCACTGAATTTATTGTGCGAAGTAAGCGAATTTTATGAATTTTTTTAAATAAAGTTCAGCGTTAGACTCTTTTGAACAAACCAATAAATAAACTATCCAATGTGTGTATGGGTATTGTATCGCATACTAAGTACTTACGTAATGCAAGCGACTTTCACGATGGTAAGGCTGCGTTTGCTGTATTCGGTTGAAGAGCTCTTCGGCTTCGTGAAGACGGTCAGTTTTGAAGTAAAGAACTGCGAGTTGATCCATAATTGACACGTCGTCAGAATTCAACAACAGGGCCCTGTAAAAGAAATTGTATGTATTGTACCATAAAGTTCATCACGTGCAAGTATGACGTACGGCTTCTTTCAATTAGATCGGATATGGCAAGATTAATATGATTCTAAGTTTGGCATTATTCGTTAAGTCGTGTGTATAGCAGTTGCTCTACGTTTGGGACAATGAACAATCAATAAAATCCCAATGTTCTACAATACTATGGTTGATTTAGAACTATATATATACACATTTACGCATGAACCTATCTACATGCGTATATTTGCATTTCGTGGCTCAGTCTCTAAAGGGTTTTCTCTAAAGAGAAAATTGAAAATTTTTTAGGCATTTACTCCCTGAGAGACGCTATCATTACAGACCTTTTATAAAGACTCTCAGCTTCATGATCGACAGATAACTCACGCATGACCTCAGCGGCGTTTTGTACAGCCACAGTGTTGTCTGGCTCGAGTGCGATGGCCTGCTTAAATTGTTCGGAGGCCTCAAGGACGCGACCTGAAAGAAAAAATAATTTGAATTATTCGAATATGTTGTCGTTGTTGTTGTTAGTGGTCGGCGAAATTAAGCGTTGAAGCCCCTGTTTCATTCAACGTTTGTAATCTAACTGCTCTCAGACTTCCGTACAACTTGCCTAAGTAAAAGTAAATTGTGGCTAACACCTTAATTTGTTAATGTGGATTGTGCGACTATCAGCTGCGTATTTTCGGCTGCGTTATTATCCATTTGTTTAGTGATCCATCGTAACTAAAGCCTCTGCTAAGCGATACCAGTTCCATACTGCAGTTCTTGTTTGCCAAGTCGTTGTTCAAGGTTACGACTTTCAAGGCTCAGAGTTCACGCTTATCTCAAGCTTCTCCGAGTTTGAAACAGATGGCTCACTTCATCAATACAGGCGATAATGGTCGGAATGGATTGTAAGAACGTTGTCTATGGCTCTTTTAAAATACTAGCGCCCTAAATGATCTTTTACCACTTATTGAGGAAAGATATTGATTATCAACGTGGAGGATGTTGCTCGGTGAGACGACAAGTTCTATCCGTAAATATTCTCTATAGAAATTGTGTGAGTTTAGGAGAAGTCGGAATCGCGTTCTCGGGAATAAAAGGGGAGAAAAAGTACGACCTCGAGGGACTCTGATAACGCGCTCCTTTTTCAGAAATTGTATTCGTGGCCCTAGTACTTAGTTCTCTATTTCTCTTTCTCAGCAAGCCGCTGCTGTTTCGTATCTATGCAGCACAGCTTACAGTCTAGTGTTAAGCCAACCCGTTAACGTCAAGAAGCCCCTTTTCTTGTTCATTTGCTCCTGCTGAAAAACGTTTGTCTGACAAAACGGTTCCCGCTATACCGAGCAGCGGAAGTTCATATCCTGCTTGTGCCTCTTGTCTCATCGAAAAAGAAAGAGATGCAGCAAAATAGGTCTGCAGTCTTATTTTGTTCGCGCACTCGCAGTGTATAATACGGGTGCACCAGGGCATAAAATAAAAAACCCCTTTTGGGGGTATTGCGGAAACAGTCGTACTCGTAACGAGCACATTGCGGATCAGCTCGTTTGAAATATTTTAAGTCGCATCGTTGATACGATCGTGTATTCGCTATCAGCAAAAATAACGGTATACACTTCTCGAAGTTCACCAACGAGATCTCAAGTGTTTGATGAGTCTTCTTTTCCTCTAGAAGATCAGATAGAAGCACTCTGATAGAAGTACTGGCGGATGTTGGACAGAAGCCAGAAGCGAGAAGAATATATAGCAATAAACGGTAAGAGTTGAGGTAGACGAACTATTGAACGATACTGTAGTGAGAATGAACAGAACACAGACAAAGAAGACGTCATCAGGAAAATGTAAAAACCGGACATGGCGCAAAGCCACGACTACACAATCGAAAGAGATGCCTATGTTGTTAATGCCAGATCGGAATAGCAATAATGAAGCTGTAAAAATATAGTGCTAAAACTCAATGTACGAATGGAAGGTTGAAAATGTCGTGCACACAACTGTATATATTATTTGATCGTTTCGTCAGCTTAGTAAGCAAACAAGGATCCAAAAATACCAGCCACACAAGCATGACTAACCAGACCAGAGAACGATTATACCAATGAAGACATCTGCCTACCAACTCTTTCTGCATAGTGCGGGGGGTGACATCAAGCGCGGAAGATATAACCGGAACACCTCGAACAAAAAGTATTCAAACAGAGATACCAATTCCAGGTGTAATTAGGAGTGCCCGAGTCGATCCCAGGCTCTCGTTGATTCGTTCCAACTTTGCTTGCACTTTGCTACCACATCAACGCTTCGGTTGTTGGCAACCGTTTTGAAAAAAACGCATCGACATCGGGGACGCGTGCTATTCTATTTGACGTAGGACCATCAGATTTCATCAACATATAGAATAACTTCACTCATGGGATTTTCTGTCTCAGTTGTAGATGGGCATTATTAGACATTGCGTTAATACTTACATAGATGATACAGTTCGAAGCCCAACACAACTACCTACCAACAAACTAATAAACAAGATTTCATCAAGAGAGGCATCACCACATGTCTGTGGAGGCCCTCAATGAAATGCGTGTATCCCTTCGATAACTTCCGACATGTTGAATTCTTCATGTAGTTAACTGACTTCTAGTTAATCATCACATCGACCTCTAAAGGGTACTTTTTGTCTTCCTAATGATTATATGAATCATTGAAAGAACTCTTCCAGTCTGACATTACTATGAATCCTTCAACACTGTGACTTGTTGGATACCGGTGAATCATTTATTAATGATCCTGTTACATGTTATAGTAGTTTTGTATAATTAATTTACTCACATATGTGCAGAGCGTGTAAATGGACTAACATGGAAACAATCTTACATTATAAAGAATTTTCGGTACAATCTTATAATAAAACAATCATAGCAACATCCATAATGACTAAAAACGAACATGAGCAACATTAGCTTTGTTCGGCTTACTCTTTTCCGTTCGTTATTTGACTATTTACGCCGACAGGTTAAAATGATAAAGGTGGTTCGTAAGGCGGCGAAATACTCTCAAGCAACAATCGCACAAAGGCTGCACCACTGTACAAGATAGCCCGTCTTTTGCCCCTGACATACCACAGCTCTGAGGCAATCTTTCTTCTCGATTTCTTCGGTGCGCGGGCATTGTTGCTGCGGCTGCTTCATGCCGAATCCATCGACAGCACGTCCGCGACCTTAAGACCTTGCAAAAAGCTGTTCAGCCTCCGTGGCCTTCTCCTATTTGCAGCATGTCTTATATCCCTCGGCCCACAAATCCATCTCGAATTCCATCTGCTTGGTTTGCGTGTTTCCGTTCCGATTTTTGCTTTTCACAACCAAAATCGTCACTGCCACTTATGAACAGTAACGTTTTATAGCAGCAGTTGCCATCCATCAAGTAGAAACGATTTACTTGAAAGTGAAACCTCGAACGAACAGGCCGTTTATGCAAATGAACACAACGTGTTGTCCGTCTACGGAGCGGCGTTTTTGTACTCTTTAACTGTACCTTTTAGCTTGAAGGACTATTAACTCATTTGTGTGTTCATTAAATTGAGCTCGAAAATCTTTTGCCTAGTCGGCCTGGTTTTATGAGCGGTTTTCATGTGGATGCAAAAGCCCATCAAACTGTGATTGTCGACACTGACCTTGGTCATGCAGAAAAGTGGCGTAATTATTCCTAATGGGCGCAGAACGGCTATTGAGTTTAATGGCGCGACGATGTAGAGTCTCAGCTTTGCTGGTGCGGCCCTGTTGTCTTTCAAGCTCTGCTAGCGATGAGGCCGCCTCCGCAAGGGACGCGTCCAACGCTAGAGAGCGTTCCAGGAGTCCACGCGCCACTTCTATTTGTCCCTTCCGACTGTTAAAATGAGCAAAATTCAATATAGAACATGTAGCTTTATTATGTAGTATTACATGTAGCATAGTATTGGAACAGCAATACAACTGTAGCGGTTGTACGATTGAAGTTTTCATTATCATAATTACAGGATTTAAGTTACACATAAATTGAAAAACGATTTGTTTATTTTATGAACGATATATAAAAAATATATAAATAGGTTTCGCTCCGTTACCCATTATAACTTCTTATATTATTCTTATCTTATTAATCATTCTGCTAAATAATATTAAATACAACGAATTTAGTTCATTTTACAAGATATGAAGGCATTATGATTACATAGCTTGCAATTATGGCATCTACTTCTTTTTTGTTTCATTCTGCCTATTTTGGTGCTGGTGTCTGCACGAACTTCAAAACCTTTTCAATGGCGCCCTATTTGTTCCACTCTTAGCATTTTTTTTAAATTCAAGTAAAAACAAATGTTTTCCACTCACGTCTAAACATAAGGGAGACTGCTTATAGTTCCATTTTAAAACTATCGCCTGTTGTGTCCGGCTCGAGGCAAGTGCAACTTACTCCCTACCGAATAGTTTCAATACTCGTGGTGGTAACCATGATGATTAAACTCAGGCTTTACTGAAGAAACGTCACACCCTTAATGCACCGATAGACATTTACTATCATTTTGAATCAGTGCTTGGCATGTACTCGCTCTATGTGAAACAAAAATAAAACACAATACTACGATAGAAATAAATAGCTTGTAATATATGCTCATATATATAATACATACCGGTAAAGCATGGCGAGATTGTAGTGGGCTCCGGCATGATGAAGGTTGATGTTGATCGCCCGTCTAAAATGTTTTTCGGCTTCAGCCTGGGACTCGACAACTGTTCCGAGATTGTTATAAGCCGATGCGTGAGTTGGGCATTGCCTAGAATACGGTGAGTTAGAAGGAAGATTGAGATAGTCAGCGTTACTAACAGCAACTGGACCACATGTCCCTTCACTCGGCCCCTAGCAAGATATTCCAAATACTGCTGAGGCTAGATTGGCCAAATACATTTTATGACTCTCTACTGGTCACTTCAGTGATTCGAGATTACTCGAAACTTTTACGATTCCTTGACGGACATCCGGCTCGTCAAGGCAATTGAAGTCGAAGTTAAAAAAAAATAAGGCCGGCGAGCCAAAAGAGATGGCCAGTAGGTCGACAGAGCAATGAATGCTTCATCGATCGATGCAGTGGCGCTGTGATAGAGAAGGATGATAGGTCGCAACTGACGATGGTTAGCTTGCAACAAGGGCGCACAACTATGGTCCTACGTACATATCTCCTCTAGGAACATTTTAGAGGTGAAGCAGCAACACTTCAACAGCTGTCTGTCCAGCAGACCACACAGATACAAAATCATAGTCAGACAGGAGGAAACACCGTAACAAACAAGGAGTTCGTCTGCTAATGATGTCAGCCGTAACTGCTAAAGGGGAAACCAATGGGTCGAGCGTCGGAGCTTTAAGAACGCTCATCTAAATTTTAAGTAAGTACACTTTCAATAGGGAAAAGATCCTATAAACAACCCCCATGAGAATATGTTTCATTTGAAGTTTAGGACCATCTATTTTGAGTGTAGCGAGTTTTTTTCCGAAGGCTTAGCAGATTACTTAAATCTTGTAGACCTCACTTACTCGATAGCCGTGTTATAGTGAAGAGCGGCTTTCTCATTACGCCTAAGGTCACGCATGAGGTTGGCATAGTTATAATGCATTTTGCAGTTCGAAGGCAGGTCGCGGACTCCAGATCTGAATTGCAAAGAACAAGAAAACAAAAACGATTAGATACAATCCGATATATAGGCATACATACAAAATAATAGCATGTGTATTGGGCACAGAACCCTGATGACAATGTGTACAGGGGCAAATGATGCGTAGAAATTTGATAGGTAAGCAGCTTCGAGAATACTATAAATGTGAAACTTACTCGAATAGGGTTTCCCGGGTCATCCAAACACGGTTCCGCCGCACCGTACGTATCGCGTTCAATGTGATCAGAAGCAAGAGTGAAACTAGTACAATTTTCTGATGGCGATTCCAGGAAAACAATGGTGTTGAGCCACTAGCTGGTCTGGCACTACTGTCTCGCATAGCCGCGAACAACCGCCTGAGTCCCTCAACCAGCAAAAGGCAGAAGCCCATGCTGGGGATATAGAGTACGCGTTCGGCTAAGACGAAGCCGACTGTCACCAGCAGGTTGGACGCTGGCAACCAAGGCAGAATTATCAGCGCGACGCTCATTAACAACACAGGACTTCTGCTAGCACTGTTTCCCCCGTCGTCGTCAAGACCACCAGCTGCTTCGTTGATGTCCCCTTGTGCTTCAGCACGAATTCCCGTGAGCCTTCGCACGTCATTGTGTTGACGATGAGGACTATACGGGTCAAGGCTTTCTTTTACAGTCGAAATGGGTGGTCCAGATATAAGCGCCCGAAAGTCACTGTTAAGACTACGCCGGACAAGCTCCGCAACGGCTACCACAAGAAGCAAAGTGGCCAAATTACGGCCATCTCTTAACGAGTGCACAAGGGGTACCGAGCCCATCTGCCAATCGTAGGACAGCACCTGTGGCCACATCACGATTCCCACGTTCATTACCGCCAGGTAGCCATACGTCAGTGCCCTAAGTGACCGCAACAGCAATGCCAAAACGGGAACAAATTACATGAACAGTTAGATTATCTACTGCAACGAAAAACTAGATCAAAAATAACTAGCTTTACCTTTGGTATAAACTAATACCAGGTTTCTATATAACATCATTATTTATTATTATTAGGTTTCTTGTTTCGTTATCCACACGGGTTGCACATCCGCCTCGGCTTCCCGTACTCAATTAGCTGTAGCACAACTTCTCCCACGAAACAAAATTCTCACCAACAAGTGTGAAAAAAATCCGCTGGCCTCTGCCAACAGACTGTCTAGCGTGACCTTGAAGTTAACAAAGCCAAATGCGATGCTTATTAACCCCTACCAAGATGTCCATTCAAACTAAATCCCTCGTGGTCGTTTACCACCACTAAGAGCGGCCAAAGTTAGCTTTTCCCCCTTCCGGTTCCAGAAAGTATCATATCTACCTGCTTGGCAGCTGCCTCTAAACAGTGGGATTTATTTAACGCTCACAGAAAGATGACGCGTCCAACCTGGCCATATCGTCTGCGTTAAGCAGAAGGTGCTTCCCTTCCGTCTGTTCCATTTACGCCGAGTCCCCTCTCACTCCAGCATCGTACAAGTTTCGCGAAGTGAATACATATGTAGATAAGAGGGAAGCACAGTATATCTGTATAAAGCTCACCAGCACCTACTTTAAGCTGGGAGCGTGACCTTAGTGTTTGTATAGCTCGGCACCTCTCAGCTATCCCATTTCGTCCCCCCTTCCTTTGGGTTCCATGAACTATTACGAGGAAATGTGCAGGAAGTTACCATTATTCGAACACTATACTCCTACATATATTATACTGCTATAGCTTCTATCATCCCTTCTAGTTTTACTACAATAAGCCGTACATCTGCGAAACTTGCACCTTTAGGCCATCAACGGCTTAAGCTGAAGCTGACGCCGTGTCTGCTCAGCTGCTCCGCAATGGCAGCGCCGTGCCATTTTCTGCTTTGGCTCTTATTTCTATTCTTGTTGTTGTTATTGTTATTTATTTGTTTGTTAAGAATCTTTAGCAGTGAGATTTTCCATCCATAACAGAAGAGAGGCTGTTATTTGGCGAACGGTCATTAGTCGCTTAAAATGCTGTCGACGTTGTCCTGACCCACTACCACGAACATCTACTCTACGTAGACACCCGTTCGGCTTAGGCGGTCCCTTAGACTGACTACAACTTCCTACAGGAATCTGGGCAGTTGAAGGTTTTGAAAGAGCGTGCGACGCTGTTGGAGTGACATTTCGTCGAAGGGAGACCGGTTAAATTAACCCTTTGAACAGTCATCCAATAGTAGATTTAGCAACATTAGCGATTGTGCGCCTGTTGTTGCTGTTGTTGTTGGAGTCGTATTAGAGTCGTAATTTTGTCAAATGATTGTAGTGGTCACGCCGAACGTACCGTAGTAATGCTGGCAGCAGAAGTAGCATAGTATCATTAGAATACTCATGGTTCTGACTTAGTAGGGCTAACCACCCTTGCTGAAACTAAAATTGGACTGGGCTAGCCAGGCAAGAGGACCCAAACGCAAAGCTTATAATGGCGCTAGAGCTGTACTCGAAGTACCAGTGGAAATCGTCGCATCATACATTTCTTACATGGCCTAGAATAGGCAGGTTGAGAGCGGCTTCAACTGCGAGGGTTGCCCAGCAAGTAGCAGTAAAAGCAGCGGAGAAAGAGAGGCCGTACTGATCGCAGCCGCGCCCAGTGTCCTCTCTCTACGCGTGGCCGTTTGGACCCGTGAGGCGTGACGCACAGATGAGGTCTCCTTTGCCAATGAGACAAGTAGTTGTAGTAGCAATAGTGGGAGAATCGCGGCGAGTAGAGGTATTAAAAGCACCAGGAGGAGCAGTTAACAACACCGATTTTGGCGATCCTATCGCGCTATGTACTGAGGGAATAGCCATGGCAGCGGCAATATCATTCTACGTTACTGTTGGACGCTCTTGTCGAAAAAAGCACAGGACTTAGCCGTGTCAGTGAGGCCTCTTCTCGTATACAAGTTGGAACACGGTATCTGCGATTCGAGACCCGCGGACCAACGGACGCACTCGGCTGAACGTCTGATCGGCGTGGCTAAAGCGCACCAAAGACCAAGCAGCGAGGCCTTCTCAGCGGGATCTTCAAGTAGGCCTTCGGCTATTGTCTGCGGCGAGCAATCACACAGTGCGGCAGGTGGAGGCAGACGCGGGGCAGAGGGAGAAAAGACAGGGGAATACTGACAGGCTGCCGTTCGCTCGAGACTTGCTGTCCGCTTGACTTGGATTCGGATGCCCTTCTTGCGTTTTTTTTTTCTCTCGGATCAAGTCAAAGGAAAATAGAAAAAGAGAGATGAGAGGAGAAAGAAACGTAATGTGTAAGCGACATAGGCAGGCCCGTCAAAGAATCGTTGCTTTGCCTCTGTATGCCAACCGTTACGACCCTACCAGCACAACCTTCTACGACCATTAAGGTAATCCTGGCCATAAAGGTGATTTGTTCTTTAGCCACATTTGCTGAAATATTCTGACTACTACACCAGAAGAGTGAACCAACAAGGCTGCAATCGGAAGGACAACCACCGTTAGTCGGATTTCCACACTGGACACAAATGGATCTCGGACCAGTCTAGCGCGGCTTGTCTCTTCGTTTCTACGCGCTCATTCACTCAGCCGTTTGTCGTACACGAGTTTACTGTGCCAGATAGTTACATACGTAGCGCCGTACATTCATACCATAGCATTGCCACCATCCGCGGCCCCACCATTACTAAAAGCATCCCGGTTACCACGCATCACCAGTGGCATTCCACGTTCGGAAAACGGCGAAGAACGAGGTTAAGAAAGAGGCTTGCTGGCGGAACGGGCAATGCAAACCGAAGAACAGGAGGTGTCTCCATCGTGTAAAACCCCACGATTTGTTCACATCTGTATGTGTAATGTACCATGTGTATATATACAGTGTATATGTCTCGTAATGTAAGTGGCTTTCTTTGCAGAATAATGCATTTCGTTAGTAGCTTACAGTGAGACAAGCTAAACAAACGTCAGTGTATTTCCAAGTCATTTGTACGATCGAAGGGGTCTCAAATTTTTCTTCCGATAGTTTCCGCTTTTCCGTCCAATTTTAGCCTTCTTCGTGTATTTCCCTTATCCATTAGAGCATATTATAATTAATACCGATCCGGCCATTTAGGCCAGTGCCAGCTGTGGCGCAAATGACCGCAGTCGAGATGTTCCAGCGACTGGCGCTCAATCAGCACACATATACGAGTACATATATTCACCCATATATATATATATATATCTATGATCATAGCGGAAAAGATGTCCATGGGAATCTTTCCCTTTATCAAATGCCTGTGGCATTTAACATACCTGGGCATGGCTTTCTGATTCCTCGTCAAAATCATCTTGTCCAATAAGTTGGTTCAAGGCCAACAGTGTCTACAAGCCGATCCAAACCGAAAACTGCGGCGATGAACAGAGAGGATGGGAACGTCAGGATATCTCGGGTAGGGCGACTTTCTGAGACCTCAAACTTTTCGAGACGTCGTTCATGGTAAAATTCATACGGTCAGGATTGGACGGGATGACGAACAGATATTCACTAGATATAGGCCAGCCTTCTCCTACTACATAGTAGTCAAAATAGGGCAATAGACAGGGACCGCAGCCAGACAATTCTTGTAGTCCTCTCGAATTGCAAACGAGCTTTAAATACAGCGGGTCTAGCGAACTAAGAGCGCATTAGGAATACTTTTACATCTACCATGGTAACGGCGGGCACCGATAACTGCGCCAGTGTCTACGACGCGACTACCTGCTACCAGTTGGGAAGGGCTTGCAGCCGTAGGTAGCTAATGGCGAAAACAATTTTCAAATAGGATCACTCGCAGTCAACGCTTTTGAATTCATCTCACTTTACCTAGTATCACATTAGCCCATCGGCAAACATGCTCATTATAAGGACTCTGCGCAACAATATAATGAATATTAACAGAAGCTACCAATGCTTGGCTGAACCAACTATGCGAACTTGGCACTCCAAGTAAAAATAATGGCCAGTGTGTGATATAAATCGTACTGTAAAAGACAACAAGGTCTCAATAATCGTCGAGACCACAGCTGTGTAGATCGATAGGATAATTAAAAAAAGCAAGAATTTAACTACTGACAGTCGGAGTAGGTCACTTCTGATTCAAATATGTTAGCTATTTTATAATTGATTTGTAGCAAATAAAAGAAAAACACGGCCATTTTATATGATAAACCTTACTATTTGAGAGATTATAGCCATTACAAAAAATATAGGCTGCATATTAGGGATGCTCCTAATACCAGCCATTAATATTGCCGTTAACAATACTATTTATGGTCCCGTTTAATCATCTAACTCAGAGTCAAAGCAGGAAATGAAACGCATTTTCTTTTCCACTAGCTCACCTGTAAGCACTATAAGGTAACAAGTTTTTTATTGTATATTAATAGTAATATGGTCATCCTTAGATTGCGTCTGAACTCTATCGTAGCAAACACAAGAGTTCATTTTCTTGTCTGCTCCCATCAGCAGACCTCGAACGTCCGCTTATACATAGATCGCCTTAAAAGGTACGCTGGCTCGTTGTGAAGGTTTAGGGTAGCTTTTTTAGTCACGCAAAACATTTCGCCTACACATAGTCACATACGTAAATGAGTGTTATCTATTTGAGCGTTTAAAACAAAGGCCATTTTTGCTTGTTTAGCATTCTCCATTTCCTTCGTATTGTCCCATCTTTCTATACTACGGTCAGCTCGTCCCTGAATCTGCTGTGTCTACTGTTAGAATAAATAAGAAAATAAACAGGCCCCTGTACACGGTCATTAAATCTACCCAGAGTTAGACGACAAGTCCAAGGACTTAGCGGACCAACTACGGCGATAACGGCAACCCTACCTGCAACACTGATTGTAATTGGATGGCTAGCGGAGTTCACGAGCTACTCGAAATGCAACAGGATTTAATTCTGTCTCCCCCTACTTTTTTAATCGAAACGTGATCGAGCTTAATTAAAATGGCATCGATGTGTCGGGCTTCAGGAGTCCTCAGCTTGCGCTCAGCTTGTTCTCTACGGAGTTGAAGATCACGCCCCAGCCGACCCTCCTTTGGCGTCTAGGAAAACGGAGACGGAAGTGATGAGCGATCGATAGGCGTAAGATCTCCCTTTCGCTGCCATACACCCCTATTGTATTCTACCACCGCTGCTATAAAATTAGTCGTACGACAGTTCCACCCCCAGGGGTCTCGACCGGTACTTGGTTTTTCGGTGGGGTCCGTTCTGGCCGTAATGGATTTTCTGTTGCCCTGTTTGACGGACCACCGATGGACCGCAAAATAGTCATGGGCACAGAATCGCATAAAGTGACCCTTGTTAGACAACAGCAGAGCAGGCCTGACTCAGGCCTGGCACAATGGTTTTGATAGACTAACGGAATCATTCAAAAGGCTGGGGATGACCCTGAAGGCACACCCATCACACATTGCTGAAACGGTTCGTGACGTTAGTGGCAGTGCTGCTGCTGGCCCTGTTTAATCAAACTTACAATTCTGAATTACTCAACTTTCTCGTTGAATCACCTCGACTTTCTCTAAGCTGTATCGAAATTGGCGATTTGCCAATTTCGGTACAACTTAGAGATCCCTGAAAGCAGCTAGAAAAGTAATAATCCATTGTACCGCCAAGTCACAGACTTACTAGGGGTACATCTCTGTACGATATGTGCTATTGTTCACCCCCTTGTCTCTGTGCCACCTCCCTGCTACTCTTAGTTGTTCTTCTGATTTCTATCATCTGCTAGAATATAAATTTAGGATATACGTGTAGTTTTATTGGCGATGATCGCCCCATGTTTTATTCGTTTATTTTTATATGAACGAATTGCAGGGTCTTGCGTTTTACGTCAACATGAGCTGTTCCAGCAAGCGGCTGTGCTACACTAATGCAATAGCTGGTGCCCCATTAGTTGTATGGGGTAACGTATGAAAATGTCGAAAGAGTTAATACGAGAGACGGCTGGTTCTTCGCTTTGATTCTAGGAAAATTTCCGCGGGTTCGTGGCACATGAACCCACGAGGGGTGGCCGTCTGCCGATCCAACAGGAGACCAACAGCCATACGTACAATTGCAATTCAGGTTGGCATTGACCGAGGTTGGAGGTCGGCATGTGACATATACAATATATCTGCCTCGTACAGCAGGCTTACTCATCTAGTAATGTGTTGTAAAAAAAAAAAGGGACTTCAGGTACTGTTTTGTGCTCTGCAGTTCGGAATATGCAAGGGTGGAGCGCTATTCCAATTAATCAACGGGACGTCTAGTACTACAGGGCAGCGGAGCGAACGGCTGCATTGAAATTGCAGTAAAGATAACGTTGCCTACCAAAATGTATTAATTGAAATAACATCGAAAACATAGGTTCAAGTAATGCAGGCGTGAAATATGGAATTCAGCTCATGTATGTTCTTGAAAAGTGCATCGAACTACAGCTTAGCAATCTGCGAAAAAGGATTTAGTATAAAAGCGACATTTTGCAGAATCTAATCAATGTTTTCTAATAAAACAAGGCTTTAAGGTCCGTATATAGTTACTGGCTTCAACAATTATTCAGTACCAAGAAGATTACGTTTCTTCATTCAATCACGCCTATCGTGTAGTCATTGGCGAAGCTTGTATACTAATGGCACACATCAGCGGCTATACTGTTCAGTCGGAACGCTTCACACCTAACAAAATGATTGAGATGGAGAAATTTCTTCTAACGTATAAATGCTGATGATGTCAAACAGGTCTATCACGATGTTAACTGTGTTGTTTGACCAACGCTCGAATCCCATGATAATTCTCATGTGAGACAATACGGCCTATAGCTTCCTGTAGTTCATCGATCTTCTGTTTCTTATGCTTTTCGTAATTACCTTCAATATAATGGCAAATATACATTTTCGGAAAATGGCAGATAATCTCCCTTTCTGATTTATGTATAGTGGAATCTCCAAAAGCAGAAACACGATAACGCTAGCTTTTGTAAGGCGGTACGTAATTGCGCCTTAAGATCTCTTTCATGTGAAATCTTTGCGATAGGAAACATAATGCCTTTAACAAATATCCGTCTTTAAAAGACGCTTGACAATCCCGCCTCCGATAGCCTCCAAGGTAGAGTCTCCAAACATGGAGACAAACTTGATAAAAGTTAGCTCCATTTTTAAAGACTATTGGGATTTTCCATGTTGAGAGTTACAAGTTGGCATTTCGCACAAGCGTCAGTTATTATCAGTAACCCCATAACGTTTACCAATGATGATTAATAACTACGTAGTAATATCCACTATCCACTAAACTGGCCTGAACTCGCCATACTGCAATCTGCTTGTGTAGATTAACAGTAAAAATAGTAGGTTCGTATAGGTGCTCAAACGGTTCACTTTCACGAACAGGTCAAAAGGACCGCTTGCTCTTTTGTCATTTAAGCTTACTACTAAGGCATCACTCGGCAGGTCTACTCAGTTGAGTAGTTCAGTAAATGTAATGTCTCCATATATACGTTATGTATGCATGGAGCACGTGTGTCCGTGATGGCGAAGCGGTAACGTGTTTGCCCATGTAAACTTTAACGATTTAGGTTCGAGTCCGAACGTAGGCAGACTTCATTTCATGGTGAGCGTCAGCCGTCTACAGCAATCCTTGACGCGAATGCCCGAACGTAAAATTCGAAGCTATAATTCTATACATAGATACGTGTCCCTGCAATGATTCACTGGTAACGTGTTCTCCCAGTAAACTTACGGATACGTGGGTTAATCTAAGTGCAAAAATGGGGGCTAAGCACACTTCACTGTTTCCGTGCGGGGAGGAGCCGCCAACCGCCTGAAGCCAATGTATAGCTAGTCTAGCAGTAACTCGGAACATTAATTTTATATATAGATACGTACATATAGATATGAGTCGAATAGAAAAATCCTATATATCCAAAAGCCGACACGTAGCTACGTTCATATATCTAGGTCAAAATATCTCGGAGCCATTTACAATCAGGAATACGACAACAACGGATACTGGGGCAGATATTAAATAAGAGTACGTGAGTATACACTCCGATATAATGTCGGCGACAATGAAAGAGATAATGGTCGTCTAGTATCGGTAGTTCTGCTGCAATGGCATACTTAAAATACTTTTTTGGCGCATTATGTCTGATACGTACGTGTTCCACAATGGCTACCTATAAGAACCATCAACACAGGAGGTTTCTGTATAGCTTGATTGGCTTTGTTCTTCATTTAACCCATCTAACTGTGACATCATGTATCGTACGTTAGTACAGTACATAATAGTAATTGTATAGTATCATATTGAATTATAAATGTTTTGATCTCTAGTTACCCGCAGTTATTCTCTACCATTATAAGAGTAATCCATTACAGGTTAGCCCATCTCCTTCGCCTAATAGCTTTTCGATCCAGCAACACACGAAGCTTTCTTCTGCGTAATTCAGGCATTACGACTGAACGTCTATCGAAAATTAGCATCGAGCAAAGAAGTATATTTTTCGCGCGATATCAAAAGAAAATATGTAAGGAAGATTATAAGAAAAGTTTTTCATGCCTTATGCCCAGTACTTAGGCCTATGGCATTAGTTTAAAGATTGGCTTCCAGCAAGTTTAGCTGGCAGACACATTATCCCAGTATATTATTACGGGAAGGAAAAATCCTTTAAGGAACGTAACACAAAATAGGAACGAAAGCCAGGAAGACAAAAGACGAAGCCTTAAAGGTGTGTGTATACCTGGTCAATAAATGAGGATGATGCGACGCGGGATTGTCGTGCTCTGAGAATCGGGGTAGACTGCCGCCCAGCATGGCTACGCGAAACGCCACCAGTCCTGCAAGAACGGCTAGTGAAACCTGAAGGTATTCGTCCGCTGCAACCCATTGCGTTGGCCGATTGGGTCGAGACAACGATGGAGATAAAGCCATGAGACCCAGACGCCTTTGACCTGTAACGCGCGCTGAACTGCAATGGAAGCGAATAGGCAAGAACATCAAGGAGATCAAACGTTTCGTTGAAATCGGTTGAAAGTAAACTTCACCTATGCAACATGCAATATAAGTTAATTATAGGTGTTTATTTACGGTACTGACATAACGACAGGGTATTTAGTGTGAAAGCATCACTGTATTATTATAGCAACTGGGCTTATTATCGCATTAGGCCGCGAAAAATTCGGGTGCGTCGAACAATTTAACAATACAAAAAAGTGGAAGGTTTAAAATAGTACGAATGGAGCAACAGCTGGCTGCAGCATTATTTGGTGGTGGGACCTAAAGGATCTAAAGGATCCAAGGACCTTTGAAGGGCAACTCTAATCACGAGCTTAACTTCTGCAATCAATATATCTGTCGACTCGATGGCAAGTTTTTTAATTAATTATATTTTTTTTTTGTACACTTTTCCGCTATTTTCTTTGAATCTATGTGGTTTTGTTTGGTGTTAATTAATCGACTGGAAAGTAGTAAAACACAAAAGGAAAAAACAAGTAATGACGCTGTTCTATCTTTGCTATCGTAACCCAGCAACAATCCGAGCAGCACCGACCGATCCACCCACGGTTATGTTATAAGCAAACGATTCACCAGCATTCCCCTTTTTCTACGGCCTGATGCGATTGTTTACTCTTTTTATGTTTTGGCTGTGCCCTTACGTTCGACACTCAATCTTTTCTCAGTATGGAAGCCTATGACGCCTGTGCTTCTAGCTTCTTCGATCAGCCAATTTTCTTCGGCTATGGCAATCCCTGTCTGACCTAGTGCTATTATTCTTGCCTGTACTGCTGTTGCTGGCTGTGGTACCCTTTGAACATAGACCAGACAGTGCACAGCGTCCGGAAAATGGACGTCGGTAGCCGCTCCGATGGCTCTGGAGCAGGCGCAGTCCAAAAATCTTTGTTTCTATGGACAGATAAATAGCACTGGCTTGCATACATACATGGATACATAGAAGGGTCCACAATGTTGCATTGCACCCAGATACAATCAGATCGGAGATATCCAAACGCGGACGTCTCTGCGTGTAAATGTGTGTTTAAGCTCTAGAGTTGAACGTGGCTATCTGTAAGGGTGGCTGTGTCTGTAAGATGGGCGGACGAGCCTAGCCCAGGACAGGTTAACTGCAGACAGGCGGCTTCCAGCCGGGTCTGGGCTTTAGCAGAACTAGCGGCGGCGCCGGCAACAGCGGGAGAAGAAAGGGGAGGATGAGAACAAAGAAGCTCTGACTGGCTAAAGCCCTTGTCGAAACTTCCTTGAGCCCTGCACGAAGGCCAGAGCAGCCTAGTACGGGCACTTGTGGATAACTTAGCTCCCCGCTCACGGTTTCTGGAGACAAAAGAGTCTGAAAAGAAAAAGTAGCAAAATCGATAGCCCCTTCTATAAGGACACAAAATCACACATCTTTTCTGCGGCTTTTTCTTTTACCTCTCCCCGACCTCCCATATGTGACCCGTTCTACCTATTTCGCAGTCTGTCCCGGCCCCGTGGCCCGTGTCCTGAAAATCTTTGGCTCCTGGGAATATCTCGGAAACCGACCATGTGAGCCCACAGGAACTCTACCAGGTTGGTCCATTCAACGATGTGGTTGTTCACTCCTCAACGAGTGCAGCACACATCAAAGTGGAGAGCGCAAGAGGAACAGCAAAGCGGCGAATGCAGTTGGGGGAGAAATTAATAAGCCATCAAAACTAAGTAGCCGGTATTCTTTCTACAAGCCAAGCCTTTCTACGAGAGGAACACCCAAGGAGAGAAAGACAACCAGAGAAGCTGCGATGCCTTCGAAACTATCGACAGACAACCCCAGTTGCCGGAAGATATGATAAAAGATAGCAATGAGAATAATTCCGGCGGAAATGCTGACTCAAATTATCTCGCCCTATGCGTGAAATACAAAATGGTGCACTTCCAGCTTAGTGCAGTAGTAGTAGTAGTAGTAATAACGTGACACCCTCATAATGGTGCAGTAGTAACACGATATATGACACGCTTTATATACTTAAGGGTAAACGAATTGGTCCAGGTACTCGGAGCAATATTTCACTTAGGCAGCACCGCACTTGAGGCTAAAAATATTTACTTTAATACCCACCATTGAATTCTAGTGTCTTGATTTCGCTAGAAAGATGTCGCAGCGAATAAGCAATGTCTACAAAATGCTTACTACCCCAAATAGTTGAATTATATCCTTAAATTCTAACTGAGAATAATTCATCTATTAAACTACGAGCTTTTTTAGCAGTGGAACAGACGGAAGCATTTTACTTGCGAATAGTGAAATAAGTTAGGCCTTTTAATATATTCTTTTGTTGTCTGCTAGTCAGTTATGTACCCTGTTGGCAACCAAGTTACGATCTCATTCGGGTAATAACATGATATAGTAAAACCGTTTAACGATCATCAACAAACTTAAGAAACAATTTTAGGTATGAAGAAGCTATTATGCTGTGATAGTTAGAAGTGCCTCTATTATATACCGATTATCGCATTGATGAAGGAAACAGTTCCTCTAGTCAGTTTTACCATTGAATATTGTCTCTCACAAACCATTTGCTTCACGAGCATTTAATGAAGTTCGGTAGATTTTTTCGAAATATGTTGGAGGCGCACGGATGCATAATTACCCTTCGCAGTAATATTAATTCGGACCGCATATAAATTCGTTTATTGTTGCATTGAACTTGTACTTCGTGCTGCAGGACATACAAACTGTAAAAGTGCCGATAAAAAAAATATTCCCTGGTAGTAGACCACTAATATAATTAATATCGATATCGGGTTGTTAGGAAACCACTTGTCGTCGCATGTGAACTTCGGATGCTAGTAAACGACAAGGATATTTCCGGTCTTTAGACAAAGACATGAAGGTTAGCAAGGCATGAAATTATCTAACCAACTAAAGGCAAGCATAGGGGCAAACCGCACAACTAAAAAAGGACCTGACAGCCTGTCTTCAAACTGGCACCGCTTCACAAATGATCCGGGTAAGTCTGAATTTACCTAGAGGGCATGCAAATGGGGTAATGTTAGAGAGATGAGAGAAACTCAGGACCTTTGTGGCTGAGCTTTTAGAGAGAGACGTTAACGCGATGAATTATACAACTAACTCCCAAGAAGTTGGTCTTGGCTTTTACAGATCGAGAAGGCGCGGCCGGCCAGCTCTAATGGTAGAGACGATCTTACAGCGATTCCATGCCACCAGCGCGCAAAGGCGCAACCGGCACGAGGCCAAAGAAACGACCTGCTGGAGAAAGCCTAAGCAAGAAGGCGGGGGTACCCCCCAATTCACAGTTCAGGTCGCAAAGTGTGGCTTCCTTAGCGTCGAGCCAGGTCTACGCCTTTATAAGTTTAAACTTAAACGAAAAGAACGAGAAGAACAGGGAGCCTTTGCAAAGAATAGATTTTTTTGGGGTTACAGGGCAGTTCTGTCACGGTCCCTCCCTTCGATCACCCCTAAAATCCGAGCAAAGCCCTTTGGCTATCTTTTGCCTTTTCGAAACGCCCTAGGGCGAGAACTCAATCGTTAACAGGGCTTCCTCTCAAATAAGTCTTAAGGCAGTCTAGCAGAAGGAACGAGGTTGATTGAACCGGTTGGTTATTTCATATGTTCCTGGCCGGACACAGATCGGGAATTTGTAGTGCAGCCTGTAGCCTACTTTGTGATTCCAACACGTAGTAGACAGACGTAGTCCGAAAAATCCCTACCCCTACATGTAGAGACAGTAAAATGCATACGTTTGAGCAAATAGAAGCCGACAACGGGTTTCCGTCATACGCTTTAACCCAATCTATGTAGTGTACCACTAGTTATATCGTAGTCCGCTTTACGTGATATTAGTCGATTTCAAGATAGCCTACGACTCATCACCGAACCTTCTCCTTTCACATAAACAACTGGCTTTTTTCAGGGCATAACCTGAAGCCTACTCTTATTCTACATCTTACTCAAGGGCTTCCCTGATGAAATAAGACGACCTATGAAGTCAGCCAAAATTATCTTGTATGCAGACGGTTTAGTGAGATACGAACAAGTTTTAAGTACAGCAAATTCTAGCCGGACTACACGGCAGCCACAACTGTGGGACAGACCGTAATTCTGACTGTCAAAAGCGATCAACCTTAGGAGGGGAGTCAGGACAGCGGCCACTGACATTTTGCATCTCGCGAAATAGTCTCTCATCTAAGTTAACCGGTTTCTGTACTTGGAGTTGCTTTTTTCGGCAAAAAACAGGAGTTTGGCCGCGCACGCCACCAAATGATGCTGGAAAACAGCGTTGGCTGCTTAAACGATCAGATCAACTTATCGTTTGTTCAGCTTCCGTCATTTTGTTCGATCTCAAGATAGCTTCAAGCGCAATCTATGGAATACGAGGCATTAAAGAATATTTTACAGTGAAGAACGTCGACAAATAAAGTCAATGCACCTCCCTTAAGAAAAGGCTGGAACTACATCTAGCGACACAAAATTGCCTCGCGTATCTTCTTGCCTATTTGGTACTGTTGTTCAGTTACTTCAGTCTCCCAGAAACGGAGATCTTTAAACCAACTTCAAAAACTAGGAGCAAACGTTTGCGGAGATTAGTGGAATCTTTAAGTGCCATGAGAAATTACGACTCGAAAGAGATGAACCGGCTAAAAAGACACATTGTTATTCGCTTTACCGTGCATCGTGCAGCCCGTGATTACAATTGACGTACTTTAGATGCAGCGACAAGTGTGACAGATATTATGTCTCTTACTAGCCCTAGTTCTATCTTTAGGACATCAAATCTCGTTAATAAGTTTTATAAGCTCAATAAGACTCCTATGGCCCATATGGCGCAAAGTGTTTTGGGTGGTTGCACATTATTCACTTCGATATTGGGATACTGTGTTGTTGACCTATATAGCTAAAATTTTTGACAAAAATGAACAAATGAAATTTCGTTGGAAGTATAGTGTGTTTATGTTGAAGATACATACGAATTTTCTAGTGTTCTTAGAATTATTATTGCTGGTGTTGACGTTGGTGTTATATAAGCAAAGATAACTGAATTAATGTACTAGTACAAACATGCAGAAATAGTTACGATTTGTATGTGTACCGAGCTATACCACCATTCACAGGTTTCCCTATGACTGGAAATATTCTATATATTGCTTGTTGAACTCTTTTGCACGAGGACGTAATTTTTTGAAATTTTTTTTGACGTACTACGGGATCGCAGCTGAATTATTCTAGAAGCAATTGAAGGGATAGCTTGCAGGATCGTTTCATGCCTTCATCAATAACGCGATAATTTTGCTTTTTCCTTGCCTATCCTATGAGAAGACAAAGCCAGACCGATACAACAGAGTTGTATAGCAGCCTGGGCAGGACGTCCAATAATTATTCTAGTAGTATAGTGACACACTCAGCAGTTAGCGAAGTCTGAACATCTTCTCAGGTATGTCTCGTTTTCCGCATGGCGTGTTACTTATGAAAGCCGGTGGTGCCCAGCGACGTGCCGCTTGGAGTAAAAAAAATCTGGCAATCCATTGTCATGTAAAAGTTGCTTATCGTAAACTACTCGCATATCCTCTATTTTTTGCTGTTCCTGTCCCTTAGCCTCTATGCCGTCTTCGCTTTCTTTCTCACTCGCTTTGCTTTAGCTTTTATGTCACCCTATTGTTAGTCCTTTTAGCCTTCTTCGTTCCGTTGGAGACGGCAGCGGCGGTAGTAGTAGCAAAAGAGGGATTCGTAGACGTAAAGCCAAAGTGCATGAACAGCGAGCAAGCCAACAAAACAAGTGCAAACCCGAAACCACAATCCGTCTATACTATCGAGGCTTCCACCAGGCGAGCGGCCATATGGGCGTTGCCTTTTACTTCTTTATCCTGCTGTTGCTTCCCTACTAGATGAAGGAGAGCTGTATAGAAAAAAATGAAGAAAGCGAGAAAGGGAGAGAGAATGCATGAAAAAAAAAAGAACTTTTTCAAGAAAAACTTTTTCCGAGGTGGGCACGGCTCCATGCTACGCCCCACGCTCGTCCGCCCTCGTACCGCTACCGAGGCTTGAGGATTGCCTACGTTACCATATTGAGAGAGGTCAGTTGCAGCAAAGAGCAGGAATATTACAGCAGCACCGGCACGAAAACATGAGAAAAAAGGCACTACCCACCCACCAACAGCTGCATGAGTTAGGTCTAGTCTGTGTCGGCGGGCTGCTAAACGTAGAGGGCACGCATGGAGGCTCATGAAGGCACAGGGGTTATGAAAGTATCTGGTATGTTTCCAGCCGACTGCCACGAGTCGTCAGCAAGAAGCGGTTATCCAAGCTGTCGCGGAAACGTGTGCGTGTTCAGCACAGAGCGGCTTCAAATTGCGCCTGCGCTTGGGAGTCGGAGAATGATGACGTCACCGGCGTCGTCTTGCCAAATTGAGGGGTAAATACAGCTCATGGAAAAGCTAGCTTTGCTGCGTGAGATATGCTCGATCTGTGCCTTGTTCATTCTTTTTTCTTGGAAGCGTCGTGACACTACACAAGACATGCGCCCTTCCCGGCGAGCAGAGTGACACGAGAGCGTGTGGCAAAGCGCGGAAAGCGCCAGGATGAAGCACTTCGCATAGACAGGACGTTGCCAATGTAGGGCAACCACGAAAGGAACAGCAGTGAAGAACAAGCAGGTTCTTATCTCATCAGCGGATGGTTAAAGCAAGAAGGAGGTTGAATGCAAATCAACACTTGTCTGTCCTAACAAAAGCTGATAGAAAGGGAGCGACGAGTTTTTTTTTGCACGAGGACGCATAGGAGAGCGCTCCTCGTGCTTTTCCTACATTATCGTGTCGTCAAGCGCTCATATGAAAGGAAGTAGGCGTCAGGCTACCGACCAAGAGGACAGCTGAAATTTATGAACTATTTCTGTCGACCATCCGAATGCACCTGAGACTATCAGAACACAGCACGTAATGAAACCCTGCTTCAGCTCCTGTTTTGGGCAGAAAACAGCCGTAGATCAAGTATTACCATAAAAACTAGAAATTATCACCTATTGGAAATCGAAGCTCATGAGATCAATGGCAAAAACTTTCAAAGTACAGTAAAGTGACTAGCCCAGCTTAGAATTAGCGTGAATTTGGCTTACCAGTGAAAACTGGAATCAGATCGCTTGCATAGTATCCTCAATCTATAGATGATGAATAAGCCGAAAACTGTAAGACCTTGTTCTTTGCTAAGTAACGCCAGTATAGCAAACACCATTGAAAGCCACAACTTTAGTCTAGTTAACTGCATGATCTGCTGCGATTCGCTGGTCTTCCGTATGACTCTAGCTGTTGTGACGTTATTAGAGGCGTCATATTGAAACATTAGTCCATCGGTGGTAATCAACTGATCCTGTACCGGGGCAAAATGTGGTTCGTCATTATCACATGAAGACATGAACGTTAATAACGCCAGCAGATAGAAAACACCGCAAAGAAGATCGGCCCGACCCACAATCGATGTCACCTGTGAACATATAACAAGATATAAAAAATAATTAATTTATTATCTGTACTTGAAAAACGGAGGTAGTTAGCACATAAGATGAACTTGACCGTTATCTTCTAAAGTGTACCAATTGGATTTCGGTAGCTACAACTTGGAACGTTCGTTTTTAGACCTTGAATCTAAGCTGGCAACTCGATATTTACGATACGAAATTGATTTTTTCGTAATTTCTCTAGAATAGATCGATGTATTTACGTATATATTCTCACCGCTTCAGTGTGAACTGGCTGGCCTCCAAAGATCAATATAACGGCGACGCGTAATCCAAGTGCGGTGCTAAAGTACTGCTGATCATTTCGTCGGCCAACAGGGTTCGCTCCGAAGCTGAATGATCCCAGGCTTTCGGACCGGGTACTTCTCGAAGTTCGTTCCACTGAAGTTGAGCAAAAAAGTCGGCTGGCCAGCTCCCCTAACAGAATGCAACAAAGCCAGTGTAGTAGTATGTTTACCACATGATAGCTCCGGGTGTGTGACAGGCCTCCATATAAATAGTTCAACCTGTAAAGAAGAAACAATTTTCGTGTGAATTTGCTCTCAAGTCGCTGTCGCGAAATATAGAAATAGAAACGTAGGCAAAATTTTACACATGTCTGTATGACGACCATAAATCACGTAGAAAATTATTTTTTTATAATTAATGTTTAGGAAGTGAACGTAATTTTATTTTCTTTTCCTGTCATGTGATACTAGATCATCATACTAATTAAGAAGCTATTTATTTTAGCTCAAGTCAGTTCCATCGCCTTAAATTAACATAGTTCCCCAACGTATTGTCAGAATATAGATTTATGCTATTTTTCATTTGACCCGAATGTCTACTATAGAAAGGGACTTGATGAATTTTTGTGCTATTGGTTTTACCGTTACATTCTAGAGCAATTCAATCATTCGGACTGATTGGAAAGAAAGTCCTCATTACGATTTACTATCATAGGCTATAGCTATTATCTGGGATGTATAATTTGTCTGTACATATATAAGCTCAAAAAACGAATATGGTCGGGCCCAGTGATATCTACAGCGATAATTACGGCAAACTACTGCGGAGCTCGGCCCCTTTTGTCTTGCGGCGAACATCCACTCGCACCCGAGGCCGCGTGCAGCTAGGTCAAGGTAACCAGACGAGTGAGTAAGTTTCCGTAGAGAAGCAGCCCAGAGACTACTTTCTTTGCGCTGCATAAAGAACAACAATACGCCTGAACTCGACGATGCGACCTGCACGGACAAGGAGCAAACGAAAACCGGAACAGACGCGCAAAGGGCCTTTTTCCTTCTCTCTCGTATTGTGACCAGCGACGACTCGCGTCTCCACATAGTACAGCTGAGTACGGGCAACATCTATTAATGCTAGTATTTCTTATGACGTTAGTATTAGTCGTACCGGATTCTACCAGTAAGCTCTTGCTATTCGTCTAGTGTTATTAGTGTTATTTTAGATAATGTTGCAGACTGTCATTGCAGCGTTGATCCAGTTACTACTCTTGCTGTGTGGGCGGTATTCAAATACCGTCGGCAGGATCGTAGATACGCCTGGTTCTGACTGGCTAGGCGCCCGGATCCCAAAATCCTTTTTGCTGTCTTCCTTCTTTTACACACGCGAACACGGAATGGAAGGGAGGCAGAGGTGGCAACATGGAGGTTTCCTGTGTTTTGTCCGACGAATGAACAATGTGAGCATGTTTTGCCTTCGGATTCGAGCTGGCTGGCACAGCAGTTCTCATATCGACACATTGCATTCGCTGTACCGGATAGAGTAGGCTCTATACACTGCCTGTGCTTCCTTGCCTGTCGGCTTGCTACCTCACTCGCTTGGCACCCGAACCTCGATCGCGTTAGCGGTGAGCTAGACTAGCAAGCTATGGTCTGAATGTTGGATCCAGCCCACGTCTCCCTTCCTCTTGCCTAGAACTATTCATGCCGACTGTAAGTTCTTCCTGCAGTGAGCTAAAAACATAAGCTACGTAGCAGTCGGATGGAGTCCTGGATATAATACAAAAGGTGTTCAGCGTAAATGGTAAAAAGACTGATGTCGTTCACTTATAGGCTAAATATAAATGAAAATTGATACTAGGTAAGACCTTTTTTTTGCATGGGCCGGCAGGACCATCCCTCTTTATTCAATGTATCTGCCCTTCTGTCCCATTACACGTTCAATTCGAGGTCTAAACCATTCAAAAATCATTTTAAAAATTGACAAAACGTTCAAGAAGTACAAACATTCAAAAACGTCTGAAATAGGAAAAAGGCGCAAAGAAGATTAACGGCTTAACTTTACCTGAACGGCTCAATTGGCAATAAATAATCTTGTTTTAGACGCTACCGCTGACGCACGCATCAAAAATGCAGGGTGATTACAAATAGCGTCGCCTTGATGATTTCGCGTGCTTCTTCGATATAATCTTTATCGTGGGTCTGCCACCTCACTTCTTAAAAATCTTCCTCGCACTCCTCAGGAACTACATGCAGGCTGATGAGGACGTACACTATTGATTTAGGAGCACCATGCAAATTTACAATTGCAGCGGGGAGAGGGGGGGGGTATTCAGCACAAAGATATTAGACATCTAAGCATGATCTTTATTCATACTCCGAACATAGACCTCCGTCTCCGTTACACTCAATTATCGATGTTACTCTAAAATAAACTGACTTATCTGGTCTTAAAAACAGGAGCTACTAGGTATACCGGCGACTCTAAACAGCCCCCAATAAAACGCGTGTCAGTTTATCGCAAACACCCTGTATCTCGATAGAGGCAAATCTCTTCACAAAGCTCGGGAGACTGAAAAACGACTGTTGTCAATTATCGCTAGCTATAGGTTACGTTAAGCTATAGTAGTCCAGCGGTAAAAGCAACCTTAATAATATTGTGATGTGAAACTGCTGGCGAGTGTTATCAGTGAGAACCCGCTAAGTTCAGCGGATTTTAGAAAGCAGCAAACGATTGCCGCTTAACTGAAATATATAATTCATAGTTGTGTATATCCGATGTGAGCAAATGCAGCAGCTTCACTAAGGCGGATTACGCGTCTTTATTTGTACGCAACCGTGGCAGGCAGCTCTCTTGTGTAGCTGTCGTCTTCGTTGTCCTTGTAGTACTCACATACAAGCGGTGAGTACGCCAGATATAACTGGCATATAAGCCTTGTTTCTACAAAAAAAAAAGCCTTTCATAGGCTTCAGTTGCTATCTCTCGGTACCGCGGTGGATGACAGAGTACTTTATGGACATGCAGCAGTGTAGTAGTTAAAGTAGCGAATAAGCAACTGTCGTTGCCACTGCTATTAGTAGGACTGCATTTAAAAGAAATGCGCCGTCGCCAAAGCGATCAAGCCTAACGCTCGCATCGGGTAATTCTACAGTAAGTAAGATAAACACTACGTAGATTAGGTATATATATATATATACATTGCTGTAAACCCTTCGCTGAGCGTGAAGCTCAATTCTGGGTGTGATTCACAACAAACCTGTACTATTTGCATCTAATCCTTTATTGGAAGAATATATATATATATATATATATATATATATATATATATATATATATATATATACATTTTTTGTCGAACAGGTTTTTATTCTGTTCTAAAAGAGCAAAAGACATATATATATAATTACTAAGGTGCACTTAGATACTAGTTTACTAGGGTGTTTTTCCCGTTCCTTTTAATTCGTTTAAAAGATCCCAATAAATGTGCTTAAAATATATTGCAAAGAAAAAAAACTATCGCTTACGTACCTGCTAGATCAGGCGTGAGTTTCGTCCGACAAGAGGCGGCTTATAAAAATTATAGCTCGATCCCTCATAATTTATTTTTTTTATTGTATTCAATCATTAGTTGACAAGCAGTGTTCAATTTACACGCACTGTCAAAGATGAAAAATGATAATTAAAGACAATTTTAATATCAAATCAACCTCCGTAATTCTTTCAGTGTGCCATATCACAAAGTGTTCTCTGCATTCGCGCAGACCGTTGTCTTACAAGGTTTACGGCGACGAGATCCTTTAGTCTATACTTCCAGTTGACAATCATTTATCATTTAACGATGCAAAGCCTTTATCAATCTATACTATATAATAACAATGACAAGAAAAAGACATATATTGGCTAATCGGCGTGTTTCTTTTTGTGATAACTAGTAGTTGTTAACGAAGCTCGTACATGGCCTTATGGACCAAATTCATTGCGACTCCCTCGTTGCGCGGAATTAACATCACAAACTATTATTGTGTGTATTTTCTATTCGACGTCACTCACTACTGCTACTGGACCCAGACAAGCTTTGGCCAACCGGAAGCCTTCATCGCCTAGTTGAAGCCAACAGCAACGACCAACGGCGGTCCGTGACGCACGTATCTGAGAGAACATGTGTCATAACATGGGCGAACTACATGTTCGAAAAATGCGCGACAAATCTGAGGCGCTTTTGCATGCTGCTGTTTGTCTGGGGGTTTGCCGGGGGCATCGCTTAAGCGGAAGGATGCTTTTGACCGTTGCTGTTAACACTGTTGTTGTTGTTGTGGCGTGTTAATGGCAGTCATTATACATGCGCTAATTGTTAATAATAAGCGTATTGGCCGCAGGCACAGCCAAAGGTGTGAGCCAAAGCACACGTACGCGACAAAGCTCCAGATAGTTTTTTGTATCAACGAATAGGAAAGTACATCACGAAACTCTGAAGTCGTTATTGTTTTACCTTATTTTTTTTGAGAATCAGAGCAAAATTTGAAAGAAGTCAAAGCTAGAAAGAGCGCAGTCATGCAGGTGTGGTTAACTATAGTAACATTTGAAGCGAGCGTTTCCGCATTCAGCTGCGTAGTAAAAGACGTGACCCATAAAAGGAAAACAAAATACCCAATACATTGGAGGGATGGTATCTGATTATAAAGCTATTAAGATTATAAAAGATACAATGTTTCAGCGTCAGAATCGATTGTATGACCTAGGCTTCATTTTATGTTTAAGATATCGGCTAATGGTATACGTGACGATTTATTAGGCATACATACATCGAACTGGCCAACATTGAATGAGCTCTCTGCTCGATCAAGGAAATCTGCTTTGATGGAAAGTTGCTCGCGGTAACGGAACGAATGATCCACAGAAATCGATCTATCTGCTGGCAACTATTATTGCGTACAGCCAGCAGCGCAAACGTACAGCGGAATATGAATTAGAAGGCAAATGGCAGGAATTAAGTTAACCGCCTCGAGAAAAGGACCAATATACCGTTCGGAATAACCAAAGGGCGACACTGAGAGACAAAAAGAATGTCAACTAGGCCAATGATCGCTAGGGCCTTATTGGCCCGATGGAAATAGTGTACGAGTACTCGACGAATATCAGAGTAGATTAGCGTCTCTCAAAAATTAGGGCTGTAACCAGCTATAGTGCTTGATCCAAGCATATCACTCATCAATGTATAAATAAATGAATCAATCGATCGATGTATCAAGTACTCTCTGCTTGTCTTGTCATAAAAATGGCGTTGTCA